TCATCTCATGTCGCATGCACGTGCGTGCGTAGGAAAATGTCTCGATATATTTTCAGTCCACGCAGTTCGATCATCAGAAAAGTCCTTGCTCCTTGTATCATTCTATCTATCTTTCTCTATCGCGGTGATCCTTTCTATAATAACATCAAGTTCTTCTGTTCCGAGTTGTGACGCTTTTCGTACTTCGATTTTCTCAATCTTCCCATCTAACGTTTCGCGACACACATTGCTTGCCACTCTAATTCACATTCTCTCTCTCTCTCTCTCTCTCTCTACCAATCTTTCTCCCTCTTTCTGTTCCTACTCTGTACAATCTGGCAGTGTGTCTTACAGATCCTTTGGATTTGACTTGGCACAAATAACAGAGTCTTTAGTAAAAAAGGCACTATTTTTGTAAAGCGAAATAGTCTTGCTCGAGACACCCTAATTTTGTTTCCGCGAAACATGCAGATCTCTATCGAGTGGAAAATATTGGGGATATAAAGAATTCAATTCGGCGTGTTCTTTTTTTTTTACGATTGGCGAATTTTTTATTTAGAGTTATTTTGATCTACTTGTCGAAATTTTTAACACAGACGGTGTACTTTCGAAGCCGAAGCTGCGTCGTGCTCTTTTTATAGAAAAGTTTGGCTGTGTTGAATATTTGAAATTCGAATCTTTTCCTCTCCATGTTATGAAAAGGAAATAATTTCGTAAAGTTTACAATTTCATAGCGCGTATCACACGATCTTACACGTACAACTATGTAAAACGCAATATGATAAAACGCATTTTTTGGGAGAAAAATCTTTCATTTAATCCTGCCGTTTATTTTATAATCATATAAAAACATTGTCAGTCTTATAGAGTTTACTGCAAAAGCATGTGTACATTTTTGCATATTTCAAAGTTTGAATGTGTGTGCGAATCATTCGCGACGAGAAGAATGAAATACGCGTGGATATCATGTTAAGATGAGAAAGATGATCGCATGAGTGATCATGAAATGAGAAAGATTCGCGAAAAAAAATAGTGTTGGCTTTTTACTATAAATCACGATCGATTTCATACACATTCTATAGCTATTGTAATATTCATTCGCCAATCTGACGAATAATCAAAAAAGCTTCTCGTGCTTTTTACTTTCGTAATATTTCATTATATAAAGGAGTATACAGATGTTTTGAAAAATGTATAACAGTAAACAACTTATAGAATTTATATTCAATTTCCATGTTATACAGCAATAAAAAATAATCGAAATCAAATTTATCAAATAATCTGAAACACATTTTATCTGTACAAAAAGCGAAATGTGAGTTTTATTTAGAATACAAATTATTATACATGTTTTAATCTGAACTTTTTAATTTGCTTAAATTTAATATTACGTTTTATTATCAGTTCAGTATCAATATTTTTTATAATTTTTTAATATAATTCAAATTACGTTAAAGTATCTCGTAATAAAAATAACAAAAGTTAAAATAATGGAAAAATTATGGTCGATTTAATTCTGAAATAAAATTTCTACTGCAAAAAAGAATTGTTTTATTTCTAATTTAATCTAATTGTTGCTACTGATGTACATCTTTCTAAATATCTATATAGAAGATAATCGTTAGGTTGCCCCACAATTATCTAATCTGGTCCGCATGAAAGACGATAATACACCAACGCACATTTTAATCCCGTTGGTTTAAACACACGCTTTTGTCGCGCGTTATCGAGACAAAGCATATTCCGTCCAACTTTGTGGCATCCGGCAAAAAATGATTTCGTGCAGTCTACGGTTCCGTGTGTGAGTATCAATTAGTCCGAGCTCGCTGCTAAAGTTGTAAAACGCATACAAATGTCCAGTCGCGCGGGTTTTATTAACCGTCAGTGGTGTACATTTATATAGTAATAATAGTATATATATGGATATCAAAATTTTGAAAAGACATCTACATGATCATCAAAAAGTGCGTTTCCTGCGTACGATAGATAGAATAGCGTTATCGGAGGAGGCAAAGGAAAGAAACCTTCGCTTTCTGCACCTTCGATGCGCATCTGCATCCCTCGGATAAGCATTTTCGTAGAAAATGGTTATCACCGCCAACGTCTATAAAAGCGGCATCATATAGGTATGTATATACGCTGGATTTTTGTTCATGTTTTTTTGTGTGTTGGAATTTTAAGAAATAGAAAAAAAATTAATCTCCAATTTTTTGCGCGCGCGTAGCAATCGAAAATGTATAGAATTGTATGCAAGAATTTGTATGATATTTATCCTTCGCACGATCGATGAACGACGTACGGCTTCGAAACAACCTCTCTCTCTTTCTCTCTCCTCTTTTCGCTACAACAATAAAACTCGTTTTATCACAAATTTAACGTTAAATGTAATAGCTATTTGTTTATATATGGAACGCGTTTATATGAAAGTTTATTAAAACTTTCTCGACATTTTAGCCACCACTTAACGTTAAATGTGCAATAAAAATATGAGTATAATAAAAGTCCTTCCCGTACACACACTCTCTGTCTCTCTCGTTTTGTCTTTTTCACTCTTTATCTCTCTATCCTTAATTCATTCAGCAATATTTCACCCTATCCTGGATACTAGTGCGCATTCTCTCGTTCTTTCTTTCACTTTCATCATCTTTATTGAAAGCTTTCGATTCAGACGTTAAAAGTATAAAAAAAGAAACGATATATACACACAAATCAATTCAGACGCTATGACATTGACACAGCCAAATCTTTGTTTATTACAGTTGCTTTATCTCTGTTGCCCCTTTCGAATTTACGATGTTATTCATTGCCAGAGTCGGTTTAAGGCTTATCGTAATCACCGCAGTTACTAGATAAAATCTTGCTTAATTTTTCAAATATGATTCAAGCGACAGGGTTGAAAATGATAAAAGTAAATATTTTTAAGAAAAGAGTTTTTATACGAGCAAAGTAATTTTATCAAATTTTCTATATTTTCTCAATAATTTTATTATATATATATATATATATATATATATATATATTCACGGCCAATTGTCTAATATATACAGCGGCCTTTACATCGTACTTGTGGAGAATTCGACTCTTAAACCGACTCGGTTCATCTCGATTTCTATTTTACCTCAACGTTGCTTTTCCTATCTCATCTTCGTGTTCCTCTGTCCTCGCGATTAGGAAGCAATAATCCTCGTCGTATATGCGTCTCTCCTCCCGTTCTCTTTCCTCTCTCGCCGCCAAACTCAATGAACACTTGGTGGATATTGCGCTTATGTATTGGTGTACTGGACGATTCTCCGTGATCGCGACTCGCGGAGTCCTTTGGCAAATGCGGCTCTTTCTCTCAACGTTCGTTCTCCTAACTGATTTTATTCGTTATCGTAAAGGGGGTGGGGTCGGCGATAATTATCGGATAATGAAAAGCGAGCAATTGATAGTGTCAGTAATCGAGACAACGCGCGTTCGGACGCGCATATATAAGAGATATGCATTGATTTTGTGTTAAAACTTGATTAAAATCAGAGATTCACCATACTTCCTACTTATTAAACCACTCTGGAGTCGTCCAGTTCACTTGTTTCTTACAATATTACACCGCTGATTGGCTGACATGCGTTATTTATCGCAGATAGATATACATTTCCTCCGCATGGTATAACTGTAATAATCTAATCTATTTTTTTTATCTTATGTAACAAACACTAGCTCTCCTGTGTAACTCGGGAGAGGAAAGGAGTATAACAACACGCCACGATATCGGTATTATTAACGAAATGGATTCACGCGAAATGTAATCTTATAATGCGATTCCCTCCCCCCTCCCCAACCTCCCTGTTCACCAACCTATAATGTGTGTGTATCGCCTCTTTTGTGCATGTACAAAAAATACATCGCGTCTCGTTCAGTCCGTTACAAATGTACATGCGAGAATAATAATAATAATGATAAAAATTAAACTAATCAGAATAATCATTGCGCGATAATAATAGTAATAATAATTGGAATAATAATACTTAGCATCGTTATTATTACTATCATTATCATTATGTATATGGGTACATAAGTGTGTTCATGTATGTAAGTATGTATATATGATTGAAATGTGTATTTCATCCTGATATATATACATACGTAATATTTTTCTTTCACACACTCTCTCTCTCTCCCTCTCTATGTACAAAGTAAACAATGAATATTATTACACCGCTCGTTAATTTTTTGGATCCCCATTCTCGCAACGCGTCCGAGTAATATCACGGAGATATATCGCAGAAATCCCAACAGATTTTATATAATCGACGTAAAAAGTCTTTTCTCTTCGCCATCCTGTTCGTCGTGGGGCGTGCATAAAACTTTTCGAAACTATCGCGTCGCGCGAAAAAACACGCATACCCCACGCGCGATACGAGTCGTCGAGAACAGTAATATATATATGTATATATATATATATATATTTATATTTATATACATATGTACAGTGTCCCACAATTTTATTAGCGTGTTCTAGAGACAAAATACAATTGAAAATTCTATTTACAGATCGGTATACGTGTAATTATAGTTTACGGAGCGCGTTAGTTGTAACTGAAAAACTATTTTGAAATTTGTGTATTAGGATTTTTAACTCTATTTTACCTCTAGAACACGCTAAAGTATTGTACGAAGGTTGTGAGACATCCTGTATATACGTACATATATGTTTCTCCTCTTTCCTGTCAACTTTAGAATTAGCAGCATAATCCTTCGTCTATCTCTTATAATTACAGCGTCTCTCGATAGTAAAGATAGTAAGTAATGATAATAACAGTAGCAGTACACACAACTCCTACTGGTATCAACGAACATTAACGTAGCACAAAATTGTGGCGGTAATAAAAGTAAAAATAAGACGTGATGGGTATCGCTTATTTGTATAAATACGGTTTTTTAAGAATCTATTTCTATCGTTCGCGTATGTATGCGCGTATGTATACGTTAATATAGATATATATATACATATATATATATATATATATATATATATTTATATTTATATATCTATATATCTCTATGTATATGTATAAAGATTCATCGCCAACGTACAAATTTTCAGTCGGTTTCGCGGCGCGGCACCGCGCCGAAATTTCTCCCTACTATTATACCCTTCTTGCCGCAAACAACGAACACTAACTCCCGGTGTTCGTTCACGCTATTCCACATTTACGCGCGTGTGCACGCGCTGGCACGTCTCTTTCTCTCTATCATATCACATACACACCCTTCTTATTGTGGTGTAAAGAGTCTCACATATACAACATAATGTATACATATATATGTATATAGTTCTCACCAAATCTTTTGCAGTCTCGCGTTTTGCATGATACGCGTCCATTGGGAAAAATGAAAATGTTCGCACGTCTGCGTGATAACAGATTCGCACCACTCCTCCGAGTTTACGAGGCAGATAGAAAAAGTTCTATAGACATTCGACAGATCGACGAGAAAATTCCGAGGGGGAGGAGGAGGAGAAGAAGGGCGACGTCGAAACGTGCGTTATTTTCCCGATAAAAAGCGAGACACGCGGTATACAACTATATATTTATATATATATATTTTTTATAATAATAAAACTGAAGATTCGCGAAAGTTGCGTGGAGAATTTGCTTGCTACTTGCGTGGCTCCCGACACGCTCATTTTGGTACACGGTAGTAACGTAGGACGAGATAGCCCAGGGTTCGGAAAACGACCAGAAACGCCAAGAGCACCGCCGTGTTTGCCCAAAGTGGTAGGTAACCGGAGCCCCTGACTCCGCCTTGACTCTCCAGAATCGCGGATAGTGGTATCGTCGTACTGTTTTTGCACTCGACGAATTTACTTGGCTGCGCACATCTGTCACACAAAAGACACACGCGAATTTATCATTTTTCACTCTTATATGTATTTTTTTGCTATAATATTATTAACGACACTACTATAAATATATAATGCTTCTCGCGTTAAGACGAAACAATTTATTCGATGTAAATAATTAAAATTTAATCATACATATTGTATGGTTCTCTATTTTTCTTTTTATTCTTCTTATGCTACTCAAAGTATTTTTTATATAATATTCTTCGTAAAAAAAATTGTTCCTTAAATTATTGTATTATATAGGTTCGAATTTGTTTCATTCAATTATAAATTATATATTTATTGATTTTTTTTCTTGAAAAGAGAATCTTTTTAATAACTACAGTTCGCTCGACCAAATTTTTTTGTTCGTGAAAATTTCAACCATGATTGAAAAATCGGAGATAAGTGAAAAGTGTATAGCCTTACGCGATGGGTTCGCCGACGTCGAACTCCAGAATCTGCATATTCTGATAGGCGTAGTGCACCATGCTGACGTATCTGGCCCACGCTAGCCACGGTGGGACCGACGTCGCTAAATAGCCACCCAAAAGTTGCGTCGCCAGGGTATAGAGCGCGGACGCGGTGATGCTCACCTGCAGATCTAGGCAGCAAGCGCCCACGAAGAACCCAACGCTCTGCAAAACAAACAGAAATAAAATTGAGAGTGGTCGGAATAAGTAGACTTACGACGAATATTAAAAACCGGGCGAGTAGTATAATCCGCGTTTTAGCTCGACCGATGACTTGGCAGGAGCAATATCTATGTACCTTTAGCACGATTTTTAATTCCAACTTGAGCCGTTTTTGAAAGTTCTCCTTATAATTGATATTTTCCAACAACAGATAACAAACACATAGTTATACAATTATACGTCCGCATAAGATGATTACGGATTTTTTAAAATAAAATATCTATCGGATATGCTATTGTAAGAACAGATATTTGTTTATATGATTTTTATGATTATGTTTGTGTGTGGATTTCAAAGTACAGTCATTTTTGCATTTATATTGATTTTTTATTTCCAAGTCGTGTTATAAATATTATAATAAGCAGTCTTCTTGGATTTGAATATTTAATTTTAGGAAAGGAGAATAACTTTTCTTCTTAATTAGATTATATTAGATGTAGCACATAAACCGTTCTTAGTCTAAAAATAATTAAAAAAAAACAAACATATTAATAAAAGGATCATATAAGCAATTTTATATATTAATAATTATATAACAAATTATAAACCGAGATTGACGAATATATAAAAGATCTAAAACTTTATGTCATCCCAAGATAATTATACACAAGGACTGGCATACATCGGATTTTTTTCATTTCTATCGATTTCAATATGACAATGCCAATATTCGTGCGCATCGATTCGGATGAGATATTCTGGATATTCTTGGATTGAACAGAAATTCGCAAACATAATCGACTCCCATCTCTCCAATAACCGTACACCCTCAAAACGATTTCTCCATCGATCCGATAAAACACCGTTTTAATTTTTCCAATTATCGTTCGTGGAAAACCGATTGAAAAACATTTTTTTAGAAAAATATTAGATTTTAATATTTAATTTTACTTTATTTAACTTTCCTTGAAAGAACATAATACAAGCGAGTTTTTTTTTTTAAATAAAATGTAGAGAGGTATTTTTAGACTTCGCTTACTTAGATCTTTAATAATTTTGGATACACAAAGACCGGATATTACGTTTCGAGGATTAAGCATCCGGTTGTACCGGATAAAACGAATAAAATACGTACCTGCGCGACCACGGTGTTGAGCAGCAAGAACAGGAGCAACATGGCGCAGACCGCCAGATTGTGGAAGCCCAACATCGGGTAACTAATTACATGGTAGACTGCGGGCAGCGTTATCGTCAGCGGCAGCTCGCCGACCATCTTAGCTAGGTAATAGGCCGAGAGCCGATAGGATCCTGACAGGCGCTCCTTGTTGATCACCTCGCGCTCCGGGGGAACTAGAAAATCGTCATCAAGCGCGTTATTCTCAGAATTAACTCCCCTGCGCGGGGGATGGATGCTTACGGAGGTGATGCTAAAATCGGTTTTACAGCTCGTTAAGGAGCGCGCGCCTTAACGCGTCTCCTCGGTTCTCCCCGGGGGTAAGAGACTATAAAAAACGATCGCGAGCGATCGCAATCCGCGTGTTACGTATGTTCTTTCCTCTCTCGGCTTTCGTAAATTACGCGACCAGGCGTGACAGACGACGATAGATGCGCGCGTTCCTCTTAATGTTTCATCTTGTTATTTTATGTATCGGTACTTTTCTTCTCGACGAGAACGAATGGTGCCGTTTCATGATTTGGAAGGAAAATCTTTACGGACATCATTCTTAGAGATATATATATTATTAAAGTATCTAAAGACATATACGATTTATTTTTTGGAAATTATTATTTTTAATTTTTGATGCATAATATGCGAGACATTTGTGGCACGTTGTGCATCTATAGATGCATATGCAGTTATGAAAATAACTACTGTAATGATGATATTTTAATTAATACAATATTTTTATTATTATTACATATTGTATATTGATTGTAAGTATTAATGAAAAATCGTCTCCATATAAATTTCTATCACATTATTAATAAAGAATATATAATAAAAAGAAATAAATGAATATATTATATATTACATTTTTCAGTAATTAATATTGAATTTTACATATAGACTATAGCAGCACACGTTCTATATATTTCTATATTAAAATTTTGAAAATTAATTTATAATATTTTCATTTCTTTTAAATCAATTTACAATATACTATGTCTATCGAAAGTCTAGATTATAATTTGTCAAGAAAAAAAAGAGGAGATATAATATATAAAATTGAAAATTAAAAGATACGAAGCATTAATAATTAATGAGAGAAAAATTAAAAACTGGATAATCACAAATATCATATATCATCTCCCTAATTAGACAGAATATTTAATATAGACAGTTTTGAAATTATAGTTCACAAAGCGTGTAATTAATTATTGTGTTACTGTTTTTAGAGGTATTTTTTCGCTTTCTCCCGTCAACTTCAACACTCGTTTACGTTTGTAGAAGTTAATAACTTTGTATCGATCAAATCGGCTCAGCCCGCCTGCGCGGGATTTGTCACGTTCTGGCTGCATGCTAGCTATTAGAGGCGCAAGTTTAAGGACCTCCATTATCGGACACGTAGTAGGTCATAGTACGTCCCACATTCTTGATTGAACGTTCTTTGATCCTTTAAAAATTTTCGCGATAAAAAGTGAATCCCACCGAATGACTTTAATGGAACACGTTACGTTGTGATCCAATTATCCTATCAGCTTCATCTACTTCTGCATGCTTGCGTGATGCTTCCGCGAGCTTTTACATAAATCGAGCAAAACTGGATGCTTATATATTTCCGTTTCCGCAAATATTAGAGTATAGGATAAACTTTCGACAATATCGAGAATTATAAGATAAAATGGATAAATTAAAAATCTAAGAATATACATATGTATCATATAAATCATTTTTCGCAGCTTTTAAATTTTCAATAAACATTTTGGTAGCCAAATCTGAAATATAAATGTTTTTTAAAATAAAATTTATTTTAGAATTATTAATTTTTAAAAGTTTTAATCGCAAAACAAAAAAAAATATGATCCTTTAATAATAAACTTTTGTTTTTTAGTAGCGCTTTAAATTTAATTTTCAAATAAACGTTTTATTATGTTGATATAAAAAATATATAATTACAATATGAGTTCTTAATTAAAATATATTCTGTTGATCTACCACAAATTTAACAAATGTAATTGTATTTTATTCAAGTATCACATTGATGTAGATATCGAGATAATCAGCCTAGTTTCTCGCCGCAATGGACATTCCATCCTTTTTGAACCAGAATTTCAATTAACGCAAATGAAAATTAAATTAAATTCAACTCACAGCTAGAGAGTGCTCCAAAATGTGCAAAAAGCATCCAGTACGTGGTACTGAAGAACATCCAGCCTTGAATATCGTGAAGAGCTGCTTCAGTTCTGGGAAGTCCCAGCCACAAAAGCCCGGCTAGTAATCCTAGGGCCACCGTTTGTAACCAGTTCAAACGCGACAACATCCGCGGTCGTGCTTCTTGAAAATTTCTTTGCGATAATACCTGAAATCAAGAACATGACATGGCGTTTGCGTATAGATTCTTGCAGAGCAATTTCAATTTCCTGCTTATAATTTATACGGCGACTTTTTTACTTTAACAAGTATTTAAAATCAAAAAGATTACGTTCTATTTATGATACCACTATGTCAGATAATTCTATATAATGAATATTTATAATATCGCAATTATGAAACTTTGTAGACCGCTATACATTGTTGCAAATAAGAATAAAAAAGTTGCTGATAAAAGTTCGAAATTATGTTTAAGCAATAAGCTGCGCAACGTTGTGTAAAACGAAATTAAAACTTTATAACATGGAGATTTTTCAAGTCAAAAGTTCGGACGAGAGATTGCTATTAGCATTTCTTTCGTAAAACTCCGAGACAAAAATTTGTTTCTGGATGCAGCAACGATCTTCACGATGTTAACGCACAGGCCGTCAAATTAATACTTTTGGAACGCGCCTCGATTATATCAGCGTCCGTGAGAAAATGGAACGCAAGTTTCACAATGCTGGTTTCGAAGGTCTTTTTGAACAATAACTACGGTATACACATATAGGGTGTTTCGGCCATAACACATGAAAGGCTATTTTTTCGGGTCAGCGTTGCTCGTACTAAAACATCCGCTGATTAACCGAACAAAGAGAACAAAATTTATGTATCCTAGATAGATAAATATGCCGTTGACAGAGAGTGTATTAAACCTTGAACGCGTGATCCCGAGGTGACGGAATGCTACTGTAAGAGCCACAAAGAACCACGAGCGGTTCCGCCGGCAGGTAAAAGTGACTCCGTCGCTCGTATTCGATTACGAACGGACATACCGGTCGCGCGGTAATTATCCGGATATGGTGAATCGTGCAAACGCGACCTAATTCTCCTTTCCGTACGCTCGGTCTTCTTTCTCGCGATATTATGCACGCGTTTTTCCCTCCTTTTTCTCATCACCTCCTTCCCGACCGATTCTCGATGCCGCGATCCACCTACGATGCACACGATCGTGAATAACTAATCCGATATTAGTCTAGTTGCATTTGTTAATCGGCGCCCGCGATGGATAACATCAGAAATGTTGATTCTTTTATATACAGTGAATAAGTTATTTTATTTACTCAATCAATTTATATGTGCTTTTGTCTGTTGCAAAGGATACGCTTTAAAAAATATCGTACATGTTGCATGTCAATATATTGTATCGAATGTCGAAAACTTACTGAAGTTGCAGATATATTAAAGAACAAAATAAAAAATAAACTATTCCAAAGCCAAGTATTGATTTTAAAACATAAATAATAGGATTTTCATAAATTAAAATTAAAAAATACAATGTGAATAGAGAAAAAAGTATTGCTCTTTAATCAAATTTCAAGTAGACTTTACCTTAGCATTTTATATCGATCAATTTTCAGATTTGATCGAGATAATTTTGGATTTTTGAATCAATAAAATTAATATAATTATGATTTTATTATACCGATATATTTTTCTCTGCTTCTTTATTGCTCCATTTTCCTTTTCTTATATCGCAGATAAAAAATCAAGATAATTAAATTTAGATAAGAATTCACGTGTTATATCTGATATTAATAGTATACAGAAATAACATTCTTAATTTTGTATGTCCAAAATAAAGTTAATGAAAATAATTTTCTCTGTAGGATGCAAAATGGATTTTTGACACTCTATTTTATATTAACATTAATATTTTTTAAAATATTGACACGTGCATCATTGTACACAAAATTATGCAGTTAGGCCTTCTTCTCTTCAGAACAGTATGTCAATCGTTATTGTCGGGCAGGGTTAAAGAACGTTTAAGCGAGTAGAATGGCATTGTATCCGGTAATTGCTGAAAACATTCTCAAAGCGTACTCACTTTGAACTGCGACCAGAAGCTGGTGGGCCATTGCCAGGAATAGTCGTCATCAGCAGAACTCGCGTTGCTGCTGGCGTGGCTTTGTGTATCCAACCACAACGTACGGCTCTCGTCTTCCTTCACTGTAAAGCATCGAAGAAATGGATGTTTAGAATAGCTTTGTGAGAATTGCATTGTTGAATCAATAAATATACGAGTAGACAAAGATATAAATAAAAGGAAAAAAAATCTCTGAAACAATTTTTATCTCACTTTTCTAAAGTCTATATTTATCATTTATTTTATTGCAATATATATTTTTAAATAATTAATTAGTCTTGTGTTCACCTTTGACATATATATATATATTATTGTTTTTATCATTCTCTTAAATTTTACACAATTTTTCTTCATTTTACTAGGGCTGATTTTAAAAGGGGAATAAAAAAATAACTTCAATTTAAGAAAATAAAATATAAAAATAAAATTTAAAAATCGGTCAAATGTCAGTTATATATAACATATAAAAAAAGTTTGATTTTAATTTTTAACGAGATAAAATCAAAAGATTTGAAGAGAAATTATATACTGTATGAAATTATATATTGTGTTTAAAAACTGATCCTGATTTCGGAGCAACGACTATTTTTTTTTACTTGACTCCATTCATTATTTTGATATACACCACCGAGAAAAATGCGAAATAATCTTAAATTGTAATCCATATCTTAGATCTTAGATCTATTGATATGCATTTATTCCTCATCTCAATAATGAAAAAAAATAAATAACTCTCAAGGAATAATATGTTGGGGCGCTGCGCGAAGTTAAAGACTCTAAACATCAGCTTCGGGTTACCTATCTTAGCAATTTATAAAACGGGCCCTTGCAGCGTTCCCGAGATATTCGATCTTTGCAAGTACGCGCTTTTAAGTGGGTACATCGGAACCGCAACGGTATCCGCCTGCGGTCGGGGGAAGATCTAGGTGTGCATACATATAAATACGTATATCGTGGGGCGGCTGCATACTATATAATACCGTTGTGGCTGAGGTGCTCGTGATAATGGATGAGATGGTCGCTGAGCGGATGTTGGCTGGGATTATACTCCGGACGAAGTTCCGGTGGGCAGTCAGGTCCCTGTCTTGCAGCTCTCGCTGCGGCAACGATGCGCTCTCGAACTTCCTCCGGCCCCTTTATTTGTTCCACTGAAACAAGTGTTTCGTACAACGCTGTGAGATCTAGGCAATCTCACGAATTTTCACGGGAACAGCCATCTGTTTCCGTCCCCTGCAGTATCATATGTATTCCATCGAATAATTATCTCAAATTATGTGTAATTGTAATCTTTCCCGTATATATTCACTCATTTACATATAAGCATTCGGAAATCATATTTATTTAAAAAATAAATATAGCTTAATATTTAATATTAATATTAATATACATATATAAAATCTTATATTATTAGAGATCTTACTATATATTCTTTTTAGATACATACAGTATTTTTGTGACATGCATATGGAATGTTTACATTTAAAGATTTAATGATGAGTTTAAAGTCCAGGAAAAAATAAAAAATGCAAGGCAATCTATTTATAAAATATATATCATTCATGAGTGAAATTCAAAAAATTAGGTTTAATGTCAGCGAAACTGTACTTACGAATAAAGTCTGCGGGGTTGTAATGCGCCAGTAATGTAAGCCCTATCGTAGAGAAGAATCTGCTGATATTCGCCGTCGAACCGTAGTATGCTACCTGACCACGACTCAGTAGGAGAAGCTTACTGAAACTGTGGAACATTCTGGAACTAGGTTGGTGTACCGTCACCACGATGCTCTTACCCTCCTGCTCGGCAAACTTCTTTAACCGCGAGATCAATGCCTGGGCCGAGTGCGAGTCGAGTCCGCTCGTGGGTTCCTAAAGTGCAATAAGATATTCTATAAATTAGTGTCCGTAATATATTGCAATGTTATTTTGGACAATTTTTCTCGGATAAACTTTCGTGAAAAATTAATTCACGTTATTTATATCTCTCTTTTTACTCGATATTATACTTCTGCGTAATAGGTACGTTAAAAATACATATATCTTAAGTGATTTCCAGGGATTATATATTATTTTGCGTGTTTTGAACATATATCGAGTTTTTGTACTCTGTGTTCTCTTTTTTTCCCTTTTGAATTATTAAAACCGTATATTTTCGTTCTAGGGATTTTCAGTTCTGTACGCATTCACGTTTTCTACACATTTCTCGTTTGATAAATTTACGTTCTTTTCGTGAATAGAATCTTGAGTTTGAATTTTTGGTTGAATATTTCAACATTTTTTCGATGCATAAATCATAAGATTTGTAGATCTATAATTCCATAAGTACATATTTCACTCTAAGATTCCTCTAGTTTACAGTCCCTCTGTGTGGAATTTTAACCAATAGATTATCAAAAGAGATTGAAAAATTTTTACAGACGTTAATTTTTCCTTCCAAGTTAGATTTGTGATTTTAACTCCACGGCTTTTATATTTATTAAAATTCACGGTAAAATATGTATAAAAATTAACATATAATAAATATTAAAAATAATTATATATACATATATCATGCAAACGCGCTATTCATTAATCATTTTAAAAATAATCTTATTTATTACTAAATTATAATTGCAATAAAATTTAAAATACATGTATGTTTACGAAGAAAATATACGTAGAAAAAATAACTTACGTCAAGTAGCATTAACGATGGATTTGTGAGTAATTCGCAGGCTATACTCGTCCTCTTCTTTTCGCCACCCGAAAGTCCCCGTTTCGTATAATCTCCAATAACTATATAAGAGAGATATCGCATTGACTTATATATTTATATAATATATTACGCTTTTCGGCTAATAATATAATAATTCTAAGCCCAAAAATTATAACTCGTTCTTGCATCGAAACATTGTATTCAAATATATTACAAATCTATATTGAAAAGAATATAACTATTAAAAATATAAAGGCATACAGACGATCGCGTTTGTATTTTTGTGTAGGATCAATTTCTCATTTCCTAATTTATATATCCAACTCTGCCATCGCGTCATAAAATACATAATAGAAAGAATTAATAACTCTGAAATAATATTCCATTGTATAAACAATAGAAATCTGCCGTGCGAAAGATATTGAAAAGGTAGGCGATCACAATTAATCGGACAGAAAGAAAGGACATTGAAAAAAACTGAGAGGATACAGCACGTATCGAACAATAAAATTGCATTTACGAGTATATACGAGCCTACGTTCGCGGGTAATAAAATTACGAGCATCGGTGATATGGATGAAAAATTCACAGCAAAAATAATGCTTTCCCTTCGAATCGGCAGCGTTGGCGTTCAATATCCCGGGTGCCAATATTCGAATTTGCTAACACCAGCTGGAACTAATGAGACGCGGACGCGTGATCTCTGACGCGTAGTAAATTATTAACTTCATCGTCGCCGTCGGTTGCTCACGCCTTCGGGTTACAGGAAGAGAAATGTACGTATAATTGTAACGTGTGTGTGTGTGTGTGTATGGGTATGCATGTATGTATATGTGTGAGGAATAATATTTTACGTCACGCGGCCGAGGCGTTCGCTCTCGGCGCGGCGTTCGAGAAGAGCTCGAGGGTTAACGATCGAGGAAACCGTTTATCAACAGCCGACAATGAGCCCGGGACTTCGCGGAGAGAAAGAGAGAGATACGCGTCCGTACTTTCCCTCGTTTGTATTCCGGAAAATGTCACCGCGCTTCCGTTGCATTCAGTTTCGACGTAGCTGCAAATACAGCAAATCCGCGTCCACATCATGCGGGTAAGAATTCTCTTGCCGTTAACAAATTCGCGAGCGATTTTTATTTTAACATAAATAACGAGGCACCCACAAGTTCAATGATCGAATGTATAAAATAACGTTTGGAGTAAATAAAACACGAAGTCGTATTCTTCTTGATTAAAATTACACGGATCTCTTATTGATTGAAGGCTTAACTTTGCAGTAGTAGGTGAATATTTAAGAAAAATAGTTTAATCAGATTTTTTGTATTAATGAAAAATCGATTCTACATTATTTTAAAAAATCTCATGATATTAAATATAAAGCTTGTACATTATATTACACTCTGTCCGACTTTTGTGCATTGTTTAACTCATAAATTTGATATTCGCAATCATGAAAATTGTTAATGAAAATGTTAAACTAAAACAAGTAATTATGATGATGGAAAGCCGATTGCAATAATGGAGATAAAACTTTTGTTTCAATAATCTCTTCGATATTTTGAAATGTTATAAGTCATAAATTATCAATTAAATAGTGATTGATTGAGTTTCTTTAAATAGAAAAATTTAATCTCGAGATGAGTTATAAATAAAAAGGGCTTTAATTTTAATGACAATATTTAATTTAGCTAAAAGATAAAACAACTGACCGGAAAACAATGATATCAAAAGGCGACGACTTATTGTTCTCACATGCGTATCCTCTCATTCAACAAACATAACTTTGTAAAAATTGGATTGAATTGATTTTAATCATAAACAAATGATTGAGTTTGTGTAAACAGAAAAATCTAATCTCGAGATGAGTTACAAGAGCTTTAATTTTGATGTCTAAGTATGCTTAATTTATCTAAAAGATAAAAAATTGAATGAAAAACAATAATATCAAAAGGCGACGACTTATTGTTCTCACATGCGTATTCTCTCTTGACAAACATATAAGTTCGCAAAAATTGGGGTTAAATTGATCTTGATCATAAACGCAGAAGCGCGTAAATTCGGTCGAGCGAGCCATTAGATCCTGGAAATAACGATGGCTTCTAACATCGAAAGGCAAAAAGATTTTTCGCCCCCCTCGGTGTTGTTTACACCGCGTATACGTATAAGCGAACTTTACGACTCCACCGGGAATCAAGCAAATTATACGATCGGTGGAATCTTCGGATCGCGAATCCGAATCGCGCCGCGTCTAAAAACATCGCGCATCAACATCGATCTCTCGGGTTTACGGCGCGCAAAAGAGCGAGTGTCTACTCACTGGTGTCTTGGCAGGCCGCGAGGTCGAGGACCTCGATGATATGGTCCACGCACTGCATCTTCTGCGAGTGTGAGAGCGTGTCCGGAAGCCTCAGCCTCGCCTGGTACTGCAAAAGATCGCGAGAGATGCGTGAGATCGCGTGCTAATATGCGAATATCGCGTGCGCGCGCGCGATCGGCCCGCTTTACGCGCTCCGATGATGCGGGCCGCGTGCGCGCGTTTAAACGCCAAACGTAAACAAAACCGCGCTGCAATGCGATGCACTGCACCGCAGAGACGTGGATGCATTTCCGTTTCGTAATATATATTCAGGCCACTTTGTACTATTATTATCCCTGGGAGGAGGAGAAAGGGAGGAGAGCGCGCTCGTGATAATCTAATCGTTACGATGCCAATTATGATGACGCGTCGATTGTGAAATCGCAGATTGTTTTTATCTCGGAAAAACGTCTGACGAAATCGTTAATTCGATAAGGCGCTTACGGTAGGTAAGTGTTGCATTGTTAGGGGAACTCTCTCAAGATAACTCTGCAAGTTCTTTGAAAAGCTAGAAAAGAAAATAGACAGTACTAAGTGAGAAAATTAATTCAGATAATTTGTGAAATGTTGCGATCTCTCAAAATTTGTTGTTGTTTTCGCAAATTATATTTATCAATAATATGTATTAAAATTTAGTGTGGTATCGTCAGTAGAAAATTTAAAGATTTATTTATTCAATTGACCAAAACTGGCATCACTTTATGATGTAAAAAATTACATAACGTTTCAATCACCGCTTGTGACCCTTATCAAATGTAGAAGAATCACCAATGATTTGATTCTTCTACATTTGACAAGCGGTGATTGATACGTTAAGCAATTTTTTATACCATAAAATTATGCCAGTTTCAGTCAATTGAATAAATAAATTAAATTTATCAATAGTTATATTATCAAAAAATATTAGCAATATAGTGTATGATCTATTTTTTTCATAAATTATATTCTTCTGAAATAATAATCTTCTGTCTTGTCAATTTTTCATATTCTCTCGATGATATTTCTCAGAATGAATCGATTTTATTATCTCATTTAATTTAACTTTAATCAATGAAATCACGTGGCAACAAAACGTCAATTTAATGTAATATACAATACGTTCACTGTACAATTTTAACAAACTTTTAAATTATAAATTATCACATTAGCAAAAATATAAAGTTGTATATAAAAAAATATGAAAAAATAGTTAAAGAAAAATGCTACGTCTCTCAATAAAATTTCTTACCGACGTCAAGTCTAAATCCGTTTAAAAATGTGTCATCGGAATTTGGTGCGATGTTATGGATCACAATCAACGACATGTATACGGATATAGAGACCGGGCGAGACGACGACATGCCGTTTCTCAACGTTCATTCTCCTCGTGCCGTTACACAAGCGGGCCCGTTATGCGGAGAGAGAAAGTGCGGCCGATGATATTATACTCGCTGGGAACACCAGTTATGTCTAAATAAAAATAACGTCGGAACAAGCACGGCTGTAGAACTGGACCACGAACCTTCTTCCGTCCCTTCCAACAATTTACCTCTTTATTTTTAGAGAACCCTTTAACGATCAACCTTTAGGGATAAACGATTCGATCTTAGGCTTTTTTACTCACAATTTCAATCATCTCTTCAGCTTATTTTAATAATAAATATTTACATTTATATATGATGTATGTGAGATTAAATTTATTAAATAATATACATTAAATGTAAAACTAAAATTTAATTCATTAAATATTAAATAAAATGTCATAAATTATGAAAAAATGACTGATCGAGCAATCTTTGAATTAAGGGTTGATCGTTGATCGTGAACTCGAGATTCCTAGATCCGTTTGCCTAAAGAAAAGTTCGCTGTCAAGTATAGAATGCATTCCCCTGGATTCTAGATAATAGACGCGAAATCAGCGCGTGGAAAGAGAGAGGAAGTGGTCGAGAAAGAAGTCGGGAGAGACAGAAAGAGACAGAGAGAGAGAGAGAGAGAGAGAAAGTGTCATCCCGTTGATAGAAGCTGACTCTTGGGGCTACCGCATCCGAAGCCTCGCGGTTCTACACGCGTGCGGTATGCGCGCGTATAGAGAGGCGGCGCCAAATGTTTTCGAAACCGTAAGACGCACGCCGCGAGAGCTCGGCGGTTCACTGACCGAGTTATGACGTCATCGCGAGATACGGTCCTTGCTCTCCCCGGCACTCTGATCCATGCCCCTCTGGTTCTCCGGATTCTAACGGTCGCAACTAGACGAACGATGACGACGACGAGGAGGACAGTTCGTTGCGAGAGCAAGTTCCTTAGTAACGTTATGCCGTTGTGACGTTCGCGTGTGACACGTGCTTGCCGCGTAGGTAGATAAGTAGATAGGTATAGATAGGTGGGTACACGTGCGAGTGGGCGCCGCACGTGACAAGCTCCTATCTCCCTCTCGTTTTGTCTGTCATAGGCGATTTTAATGAATCGAGAGATTTGGAATTTTCTCTCTGATCTTCTATTCATCGATCGATCGATCCCATTTAATTTAATTTCAATTCTCCCTGAATACATGATTGCGCGATGATGATGATGATGATGATGATGACGACGACAATATAATAAATCTCGCGTTCCTGTTCAATTGTATGTCATTGATCTCTCTTTTCTTCCATTTCTATATTTAATTGAATATGTATAATTATATAGATATTGAATATTTAAAAAATAAATTTAAATTAAAAAATTATAAATTGCAAATCTGGCCGAAAACTTAGCTTGAAAATTAAAATATAATTATATTAACAACTACCACTAACTTTATGCACACTAATATTCTTTTCTAAGTGTTCTTATTGTTAGAGGAATATCTTGTATCTATAGGGGAATAGGATAAACACTATCTACCCATCTTTTCAATGTTAATTATCATTTTAAAATTTATAAGATTGTATAATCGTGATTACCTTAAAAGTCGCTAATTACTCCGTTATATGTTCTCTCTAATTATATTGAGAATTATTGAGGCGTTCTTTATATATTGCATCGTTTCTTACAAATCTCGTTTTAAAAATAGTAGAAAAAAGAAAGAATTCTAAATACACCACGCAAAATATATAAAATAAAAACTATTAGACACATATTTTTTCTTCAAGCAGAAAAAGTCACGTCTTCAGCGACTTTTTGCTACTCGCGATGTATTCGCTCGCGCGTGCATATGCACATACACGTACACGCGCACGTATACCGACACATTTATTCAATTAGTGGCTAAACGACAAAGCACATATTTGTCCGCGTCCATTTTCCACGAGACCTCTTAAATCCCCCAAGTGCAACGGCGATGGAGTGCGTTGGCTTCTAGCCCGCATTTGCATTCTCCGCGATCTTTGCGTGCAGGGTGTCCTCCTAATTCCCGCCTACCGTGTGCGCGTGGGCCGTGATGAATATCGAGTGAAAGGCGCACGGCGCTGTCTTGGCACATGCCCGGTGCCTATATTTTCGAGGAAAACGAGGAAACGCCATGATCGTTATGCGTTTTGTCTCTTACTTCGAGATACAGGTATCCAGAAATGCATCCACGGTTCGATTGTCTCGTCTCTATGGTGCAGTTTTGCACATTTTTTATATATTTTCCACCATTTTTATATATTTTCTATATTTTTTTGCGATTTGTACAAATAAATTATTTTTTAAATTAAACATTTATCTTGAAAATATTAAAAATTATTAAATCTATAGAGAAGCGAAATTAGTTTGAGTCTCGAGAATTCGAAGTAAAATCGCGTATTGAATGTTCAGTATTTGCTCACTATCGTAATACGATGAATTTGTTTTATTGTACTTACTTCGAGTGTCTGTCGTAAGGTGAGATCGGGAAAAAAGACGTCCTGCTGTTGTACATAGCAGATTCTCCTGCGCCATCGTTTGGTGAGCCTCTCGCGATTCAGCCAAATCTCACCGCCGTCCAAGCCAACACGGCCGGACAAACAGTTCAGCAGTGTTGTTTTACCACAGCCTGCGTAACAAATATGCCAGACAAAAATTTAGCGCCTTCGCGTATATGAAGCATCATGTTATATTTCAACGAATATATCTTTCGCACGTCGCGTCATGTTAAATGTCACTTATACATGAATAATAACAAGAAATTATTATGTAAAGTGTCATATAACTTAGATAAAATATATTCTTTATTAACGCGGATGAGTTAGGAACTCTACAATCTATTTCGTACTCTCATTAGTGAAAGAGGAATTTTTTTGCTCTATGTGTCAATACATTTTTTAATTTCTGGCATCTTTACGTGTTGAATTTTTTGAATTTTTAGACTGTGAATATGTGCTCGAAACCTTAAGTTCTAACACAGTCTCAATTTTATTTTTCGTATTAGGAAAACAACGCGCCGAAGCTTAACGAAATACATAATTAAGCTCGGTAAATTTCTACTAGTAGACGCACGTAACGCGCGATGCGTCGAAAATGATCGCAAACAGACCTTTCTCACCGTGCAACGATAAATATTCCACCCGGACGAAATTGCCGGCTGGTATATACATATTTCACTGCTGTGCGCATAAAAGCAAAGTTAAAGATAGAAACGCAGATTTAATTCCACGACGTCCACGCAACACCGCGCGATTAAGACACTCGCGAGAGAAACAACGTGAAATATGGAAGAATATTTGAGAACTCGTAATTATACGACACACCCTCGCAAGAGGCTGGGGCGAGAGAAAAAAGTAGAACCATTGCAGGAATGTATATAGTAACATATAAATTCATGCCGCGTATTGCACCCGTTGTACAATAAACGTTCGAATATACATATATACCTATACGAAGTATAATGCATATGCGCAAATTTACATGAATATTTAGTTTTGGATGTATGAACGTTAAACTCGTATATTATAGAATTCGACCGACATTCCAACCATTGTTAATTAATTTTAATATGTCTGCTTTTATACTCAACAAACATAACATACAATTTGTTACGTACGCGTATTCGACAAATAATTTAATATTTTCAAAATTGTAAATGTATATACACGCGCCATAATCAATGTATAATATTCCAAACATTATTAATAAAGAAAATATAATTCTAAGAGAGGAGAAGAAAATTATAATATCTATTAAGTACGGTTAGCAACACGGTTGGTGTTATGCAAATAACGAGATTTAATATGTGCGAAAGCAAATATAATACAAGGGACAGTTCCGTACCTGAAGGGCCCATAACGGCCAATAATTCGCCTGGCTTGACGACTCCCGAAACATCTCGAAGGAGAGCTCGTTTCTCCTTGACCACCTGCAATCCTCGGAAGATTAGCTGCACCGGACGAGAATCCAGCGGGCACACCAACTGCAGCGCTGAGCTTTCCACTCTGCAAACATTAAAATATTGCACCTTTAGGAAAGAGAGTTTCTCCGTTTATTTTTTTGCCCTACATCTTCCGAATATCAAAATCTTTACGCATAAAAAAAATCATTTATATATCTATACAAATATCTAAAAAAATTCATTTTTAAATAATCTTATCTTTAATAATATAAAACAAGGATTTGATAACCGGAGTTATATTTTTTCAGAGGGTACCTTTTAGATACTTCTTCGAATTTTTTTATATATTTTTTTTATATGCGATTGTAATAAAATTTGAAAACTTATACGTATATTTCGCTATTTCGCTCTCTTGCTTTTCGCGTGGTTGCAGCAAACCATTAGCACAGACTCTGCAAGCGAAACTACGGAGTTATCGTCGGCGCTAAATGTGTTAATTATATTCTCCAGATCTATATAGCTCTACCATACGACGTTCGTAAAAAATAAAAGAAAAAAGTGCGTAGTACGTCGCGACGTTTTTATCGGAGATGCGGCGCTAACGAGATTAACCCTAATTTAACATTCCGCGAAGCATTCACGAATATCCCATAAAAGTTCACTTTAACGCATTTAGATAGACGAATTTCGGTCGTATATATTCTAACTCAGCCGTGGGATCCGTGTGAAATCGTTAAAGCGAAATGACGTAGGTTCTGGGCAGGCGTTCACTTCGAGAGCCACCACACGATCGCGAGGAGCGAGCTTCATAATAACAATGACGTCTCATGGGAGTTATTCCGCGACGCCAATTAAGACTGGCGTGCGTTACGCCGAGAAATGGCATTTTGCGTTGTATCGAAGAGACTTGTGTACGCGAGATTCTGCTGGGGAATCTTTCTCTTTTGCCTCACCTGTCTTGCTTTATTTTCCGAGACTCACGATTCGTCCAAGATTCTGTTCGCGTTATCTTTTTAACATTAATTATGCATATGTTCACATTTGCTACTTGATTCGTACCATTGATAGTATAATGTGATGTATTATTTTTCTAGATTTTCGTACTTTTTTTTTTCTTAAACACAACATTGGCCAAACTACAATTTCTGATATTTATTAGAACTGGAAATTGAAACAGTTGTAAATAGATATTTTTTTTAAATTAAAATATTTCCTGTATAAGATATAATTTTGTCGAGGTCGTGTTAAAAAACTGAGAACAAATAATTTTTTATTAAGATATTCAGAAAATAACTGAATCTGTTCCATTTATCAATCGATTTGTAAGGAAAATAGAAATCTTCACTATTAAGAGTTCAATCTCAAAATAGGAAACATCCATTTTATATAATATTAATTCTTTTCAATTAATTATAATTCCAATGCGGATTCATCAAAGATTTTCATGAAAGATAGAAAGAATCTAAACAGGAGATGTAGGATCTAATATAGTGTCTACGTCTATATCGATATATAAATTTGCATGAAATAATTGATCTAACTACATCACAATTCTTACATAAATTAATAACAAACAAAAATGAATCTTCTACGAAATAAAAATAATTTCGATTAAATGTATATTTTAATCGAAAATGTAGCTGCAATTTATAAAAAAAATTTGAAAATAATTCCAATATTAAAAAAAAAATACAGACGAATTTGAAACATCGGGCACTTCTACGAAATTGCGTCATCCCTCCATCTGTTCCTTGTGACTAAAATGTTATTTATATAGTACCCAGGATATTTTTCATCATTCCCCTCGCGGGAGATAATGGTAACGAACTCGTAACGATAAGACACTTGCGTAAAGCATGCATTCGCTCGGTCGTGGCGATACAAGAGTCACGCGTGACAAACGTTCATCGCAAAAAAATCGACGGCATGGCAGGACGTCATCCGTGACCGCATGATGACGGCGCGCCAGCGAAATCGGGAAGAAACTAAGCCAAGAACGCGCTCAAATCGCGGGATACGTGAAAAAAAGGCGAGGGTCGTTGGACAACGGACTCGGATAATAAATTCCCGACATGGCGATGTCACGTCATCTCGGGTTCGTTGAACCTGCCCGTTCGTTGCATGACGGTATCCAGAGGGAGGAAAGAGCAGCAGAAAGGGGAACGAGAAGAAAAAGAACGAGAGATAGAGAAAACGAGACGTTCTCGCAGTTCGTTCCGGGACGAGAGATTCCCGAAGCTGAAGACTTGATCACGAAAATGATACTTTAATATTTAGATTGCAAAAATAATTTAAAATATATAACGAGAGCCCTTCAAGAATGATATTTTCTCAACAAGTTGCTGTTGATTAAAAAAATCTTCATATACGAGAATCATTATGAAAAGATTTCATATATCACTTACAAGACATAACATGAGAAGAGTTTTGTTTTATCACAGTATTAATATAGTGTTTGAAAAAATAATTTTTTTCTAAAATGTCTTTATTTTTTTTAGGTTGTTGCGTCTTCTTAATTATTTTATATTAAATTTTCAAATAGAATTTTTTTTTAAATAATGCATAGGCATCATTTTAAGTATATTTTATATACAATTTTAAAACTGCTATCTTAATTTCAAATGCTATGTTCAATTTGGAGTCAATTTCTCTGTAGCAGAAGATTAGTACTTTTGTTTTAATTCTTTTCATGATACTCTAATATACAACAATAGTTTATATTTTTTCGATAAATATTATTTAACATTAAATATACACTTGTCGCTGCATACGTTTTACATGAAAGATCTTACGATAATAATAACAGCATCTGAATGAGTGCACCGCCGCCTCTTCTCATTTTTCAGACGTTTTAGTCTGCGACAGCATGACAGTATTTAACATTCAGTATAGAAAGACAAGTACGAAGGGATGTGATGAAAGCGCGGGAGAAGCAAACAAGAAAATAAAATTGAAAAAAGAACGTAAGAAACATAAAGCTCTCGACTGAGTTAAGGTAAAATAAAGGGAAGAAAAGCGATTTTTCGTTCGCGCGTTTGAATGATATTTTTCGTTCTCGATATTCTCTGTCGGAGGCATCCCCCGTCGACCCTATCGTAATAACGCATAGTTTATTCAGTGTCACAGACATTTTCTGCGGCGATGCCGTAAGCGGGAAAAAGATGTAATTATCCTCCGCTCGAGCTCGCACGCGAGGGCATGAAATCGATGGTCTCTGTTTTCGTTCATCCTCGTCAGGGATGTAATCTCGAACGCGCATGCAATTCGCCATTACGGCGACGATCTCGCGACTCCCCGTTATCTGAATTGAGGAGCTGCCGCGAAGCGTGACCGTTCAATCACGCGCGAATGATTACGCGAATTAATTTCGCCACCTGGGGTCTGCGAAGTGTTTAATTCTGGATTTCGTCCGAGCAACAACGCGCGCGAGACGCGCCCATCTTTTTTAAACCGCCGCCGCGGTCTCATTTTCAGACACTCTTATATATCTCGCTCGAGTGTCGAGTCGCGGGGATCGCGCGGGGTTAAGTCTCGTTGAAGGAAGTTACGAACGCATGCCAAATTAATCCTACGCGCGAGTTCGTCGACCCGGCGCGCCGGGCTTTTTTTTCACGCTATCGCGCGGGCTTTTTCCGCTTTCGCAAACGCGCCAAAACGCGTGTCACCACGTTTATTACGAGGACGCGGTACCCTCCTATATTCAGGACGATAAACTTTAAATGCAGTTGCATAAAGCTGCTTGCAGTGACGTATCTCTCTTTAGAAATATATCTGATTCGGATCGAATGTAGTGATCTTGAATGTAGCGAGAGTAAATAAAAAAAAAAAAAAAATGATTTTTTACTTAAAAAATATTACAACTTATTTTTAAAAGAATCTTCTTAAAACTTTTTAAAAATATCTAAACAATTTTAGAGTATTTTTTATAATATCATTACAGTCTGTTTTACTTCTAACTACTTTTTTGTAATTTCTTTTTTTTATATGGATAATATTTTCTGAATTTTATTTGAAGTTCTTTAAATATTAATGAAGAGTAGTGCGAATGTTTCCTTGTCAGTGTCGCGCAATATTTAATTTGTCACTTTCCCGGTTCATTATTTCAATGTCAAGTCGAGGTCTCTCGGGTTAAGTCTCATCGAAGGAAGTTGAATTTACCAAATTAATCTTGCCAGAGTTCGTTGAACCGATATGAAGATATACGCGTAATTAATAACTGGATCTCCGCGATTTTATGCATGATTTAAAAGGCATCCGCCTCATCGAATGTTAACTATAAAATCGATGAAATATATTTGACGTAAATTATATATAAGATTTGTATGAATCATATAACGATAAATTAAGGATTTCGAGAAACTTCACAAAAATTTCAGTTTATATTTTCGTCAGAAATTTCACGTATGCTAAAACTTCATGAGTCTTCAAACTTAAAAAAAGGTCTATCTAATCCAAATATTTTTCTGAAAAATAAAAGAGCTTAAAATCCAATATACATATATTGTAGCATTGATAATAATATAAACTTTTCTTCTCCTAACATATAATATATCTATTTAGAATTATACGCAAAGACGAAACAGAATGCAGAACTATTTAAGCTACTGCAAATTATTTCTTATATAAGATGTCAAAATTAAAATATACGATAAGCATTTCGAAATTTTAAAGATTCTTATAATGGATAATTCTCTGTAAATTATAAAATATTTTGTCATTCTTTTGCACATCATTCACATTTAATATATGTGATGCAAATGATTTTCTAGATTTTTCTTTGATAAATAACAAATGTATTCTCAAAATAATCCCTAGTCTTACCGTAAACTATAGACAGAAAGTGCTTTCAACTCCATCATTAAACTTGTAAGTATGGTTCTCTTCACTTTAAATTATTGCACTACAAAAGTATAAATTAGAAAACTTGGAACTGAAAATATCTCGACGGTTATATATATATATATATATAAGCGATAATTTTTTTATTTAATCCGAAAATATTAGAAATGAATATTTATCATGTTAAAATAAACGCATTTGTAAACAGAGCCCACAACTTTCATTTGGTCACACTTTTTTTCTATGCAATATCCAGGTATACAT